TCAGAGCCCCCATGGCTCCCACAGCCTTCAGAATAGAGTAACCTTACAACCTGCAGATCAGGGTGCCCCTGTGCCTTGGTTTTTCCAGCTACTGGAGTCCTCCTGCCTCAGGGCCTTTGTATCTGCTGCCTCTACTCCTAGCTGGGGTCTCAGACCAGGAGACCCTCCTATAGTGGGTCCACCCCACTGCTTTCTCTGGACCCCAGTTCATCTTTCAGCTGCTGCCTAGGCTGCATACTGTGGGTCCCAGATGGAGTCTGTAGTGTAGACCTGTCTCGGTGAACAGGAGCCACCTCACCTGGGAGGACGCAGCCCGGCAGTGAGGAAGTGAGAGGCCAGGCGCTTGCTCTCTTCCCTCCAGATGCGATGAGCAGTTCCCATAGCAGAGTTCGGAAGGATCCCCGAGCCCGAGGCCTGGGCAGCAGCTGAAGCCCTAGCCTGCGCCCTCTCCCAGCTTCTACCTGAAGCTGGCCCTCAGTGAACTGCGCTCACCCTCACCCCAGCCCTGTCTCAGGCTCTGCTTCTGGTTGGAGAGTTGTGCCCACAGGGAGCCTTTCTAATTCCACCCTTGCGGCCTCTTTATGGCCCCTTTCCCCCACTGGCTCAGAAGATTACTTCGTTGAACTTTGTCCCCCACCCCAGAATGCAAGGCAGGGATCCTGTTGACTACATTCCTGGTGTGTTCCCAGTGTGTGTCGCCGGGCTTGGCACACAGTGCATGTTCAATCAACGTTTGCTGAATGGCTGAATAAATAGTTAGGTGAGTTGGGAGTTGGGGGCTGGGCATCAGCAGGACCACTGGTTCTTCCCATCTCATGGATCTGTCATCTACACCCGGCCCAGCTCCTCATGATGCCATGATGGCTGACAGAGCTCCTGCCATCTTTTCCATATGCAGCCAAGGCTAAGGCAGGAAGAGACTCTCACATGCCCACTCATGAATGAAGAAACCCTTGGCCTCCTGGCAGAATTGTCCACTGCACTGGCCACCAGTGCGCTCCATATCCAGACTTGACTTATCACTGCCAGGTGACGAGAGTCATATTTGGCTTAGGTCAATCACTGTGGGTGTCCACATTCATCCACTGAGGGATCTAGCTGGCCCCATATTGGAGGCCCCCAACCAGGGTCATTCCCAGTGTCCCTAGGTCTGAGGAGTCCTTGCTAGTCCTGTGTCCCTGGGGAGCCCTTGGTGTTGAGTGTAAGAAGGGAGGGGAAGAGTGCCAGGGGTGTTGAACAGATTCCTGGCCAAACTCCTTCACTTGGTAAATATTTAGAAAGCCAGGAATGGAGAGGAGGCGGCCCAAGGAGGAGGCGTGCACAGGGCCCAGAGAGACATGGGGGAGAGACAGAGACAGAGAGAGGCGGCCAGATGTGGGGGCAAGGGAGGAGAAAGGCAGAGAGAGGCGGGGGAGAGAGTCAGAGACCCTACCCAGGGGGCTCACCCTGTCCCCGTCTCTCTCCCTCTCTGGCACTTCACCAGGTTGTCCTGAGGCCCTGCACACTGGAGTGACCACAGGCTCTGTGACATCTATCACTTGTACATGACCTTGTACAGTGGGAAACAGGCAGGACTGTGAGCTCAGAGAACAGGAGTTTGGTGCCTAGGTCATAGCAGATCTTAAGGGACAGACCTGGCTAGGCAGCATATTGGTTATGTGTCCTGCAGGTTGGGTGAGGCTGGGGAGAGTCTGGAGTACCAACCACAGCTCTGGGTGCACACTGACTGACCATGGCTGCTGGGCCTGTGTGCTCCCCAGGTGTGAAAGCGTTGGCCCCATGGAGGAAGGCCACTTGACTTCTGCTGTCATTTCTATTTTACAGAGGCAGAAACAGCTTTAGAAACCCCAGTGGTCTCCTAGGAGTAGAGCAGGCTTAGGGTGGGATGGCTGGGAGACTTGGGCATTGATATCTTTTTTCCAAGTCTCTGGCTTGCCTGAGTCTGTGTTTGTTTGTTTGTTGTTTTTGAGACAGAGTCCCTCAGACTTATGCTGTGCTGGGGATGGGACCCAGGGCTTTATGTATGCTAGGCCAGCACTTTACCAACTCTTTACCCACCTGTGAAATGGCATGATAACATTTTCAGGCTGACATACAGATTAAATGAGATGATCCACATCTGGAGCTCAGCACAGGGCCAAGAATGCAGTAAGTGCTCAATACATCTTAACTGGGGCTTGGACACTGGTCTTTGTTTGTTTGTTTTTGAGACAGATTCTTGCTATGTAGCCCTGGCTATCCTGAAACACTATGTAGACCAGACTGGCCCAGAACTCACAGAGATCCATCTGCCTCTGCCTCCTGAGTGCTGGCACTAAAGGTATGCACCCAGCCCTTTTGTTTTTTAATTTTAATTTATGTGCATTTGTGTGTGTGTGTGTGTGTGTGTGTGTGTGTGTGTGTGTGTGTGCACGCGCGCATGCGCATGCATGCTGCCATGTGTGTTCAAGTGCCTGTGGAGGCCCAAAGAGGGAGTCTGGATCCCCTGGAGCTGGAGTTAGAGGCATTTGTGGCCCCCATCATGGGTGCTGGGAATCAAACTCAGGTCCTTTTGAAGAATGGCAAATGCTCTTAAGCTCTGAGCCATCTCCCCCACTCCTGAGACACTGGTCTTCTAATAATTTTTAAATGACTCCTTTAATCACTCCCCTTTGTCCCAGAAGGGACTTGAGGGCCAGAGGGGAGGTGGCTTGCCTAAGGTCACTGTCCAAGAGCAGAGGCTGAGATTTGAAGGCTTTATGCTACCCATGATGGGTCTGCCCCTGGACGGCTGCTCAGAACTTTGGTCTCCATGGGTTGATAGACACCCTTGACTTGGCCCGACGTCCCTCTGGCCTGGCATTAGGTATAGTCAGTCACTGGGCTAGTTGCGAAACCCCTTTCTCTCCCTCCTGTTGATAAAGGGTCTGTTGCAAGAGCCTGAAACCATGAAGTATGTGTCACCTGCTGCCGGTCCACTGCCCCTTTCCTGCCCAGAGGCCTGGGTGGGACCGGTTCCTTACTCTCCCTCCAGGCGGCTAGGTGGGTTTGCAGGGGGATTTGGGGGAGCGGGACAGGCCAGGCCGAGTACCTGTCCTCCACCACCCACCACCCTTGGGGAAGGGTGGCTCTATCTTGCCAGGTGTCCAGACCAGACTCAGGTAGCCTTGAGTCAGCTCTTCCTTTGCATCTGCTAACTGGGTGGGAAACCCTGTCATACTACCTTTAAATTCATCCTGAGCCTAACCAGGCTTCCCCCTGCCCCCCTGATGGACTCAAGTCCCCACCTTGTCTTCCACCCAGTGCACTAATCTTCTGAGGTCTCTGTCTCTACTTCATTCCCTTTCCACACGCAGTCAAAGGACCTCTCCTCTAGGCAGAAGCTTCCTAGCCTCCCTGACCCAAAGCCTTTTCAAGGCCTTGCCTGTCTGCCTCCCCACCCCAACTTCTGACTCCTTCACTGCTCTGTCTCCCTTTGTTCCAGCCACCCTGGCTCTGTGCTTCTCCAACACACTGGGTTGATGACTCTCAGGGTCTTTGTACCTGCTACTCCTGCTGCCCAGAATGCTGTGCCCCAGCTTGTCTCCACTGCTGGCCTCCATTCTTTCCATTCTCATCTTAATGTACTCCTCCTCCAGGAAGCCTGCCCTGGCTCCCTCAATGTCACCTTCACCATCACCTGTTCTTCTGTCTTTCCTTATAGTTACCATCATTTTTATGTATTTAATGTCTGTCTCCCTACTGGAAATGTTTCTATGTTTTGTTCACAGGGCTCTACAGCATTGCACAAACATTGGCTGGATCAGAGACAGTGGGAGCAGGGTGTGGGGTGGAGTGTGGCAGCTGTTAATGACCCCATCTTCAGCTTCTCTGGCTGATGGCTTTAGAGTGAGGTCAGGACAGATATCACTGTCTTTCAGATTCAGCTGGTCATGCCACAGGCCTCCCCAAGGTCCCCCCTGAACTGTCCCCTCACTTCCCGCACCCTGGCTCCATTCATTTCTGTATTACTTTTGGCCTCTGCCTTCACCAGACCCTGAGCCGAGGACCAGACTGGGCTGCCTGGGTCCAGCACAGGACCTGACACCTTGTGTGTGTGGCATCAATGATAGTGGACAAACCTACGTGGACACTCCATGAGCAGGCCAGTCCCCATGAGGTGCTGTGCCCAGGCCCACAAAGTCAGGGTCAGGGGGAGAAGGAAGGAGGCTGTGCGTACCATCACCCCTAATGACACGGTATTATAATGGGCTCACAAAGCGCCCTAATCTGATATTCTGTGTGTGCTTTTTACAACAGATACAATCAGAGCCACAGTTAGCTAAGTCACTCTCCACCTATCTGCACGCTCCACCAAGATCATTATCAGCCTCCTTAATTAAGCGCCCAGTAAAGGGCGGCCCATAGCCCAGCTCCAGAGAGTCCTGCCTGGCCAATCTTCCCTAAGCCAGGATAATAGCTACCCCCATACCACGCCACAGTACCTGCCCCATCCCAGCCTATCCCAAGTTCCAAGGCCTGCGGAGTAAAGCATGCCACCCATCCAGGACTCTGGCGGGTAGCCCTGGGCCAGGTCAGCCTGGAGATGTGTTGGGTCTGGGGTGTGTGGCTTTTGCTCAGAGTTTATATGCCTTGCCCACGCTGAAAGTCACGCCAGAGTCTGGCTTCCTGGGAGCAGTGGGAAGATGAGGGACTCGGGGCTGGTGTGCCCACTTAGGCAGATTGGGTCACCTGTTGTCAGTTTGTTTGACCTTGCCTGCCTGAACCTGCAGGTACTATGTTCCTAGACCCTGCTCTGAGGGTGTAGAGATCAAGGACCCATTTGCAAGACCAACCAGGAGGAGATAACTGACTTAACTGACACTGCATAGGGACCTGGGGACTCAAGTCACAGACATTCCACACGTCTTTAGCTCATACCCCTACACAGGTGCTCGGGGCAGAGGGACCTGGCAGGCACACAGTCAGACTAGCATCTGTATAATTGTGTGATAGTATTTTTCCGTGACTGGTTCTTTCAGATTCTTCAAGGTAGCAGAAGCTACCAAGAGATTGGAAGCCACCATCTTGGGAGGACGCTCACTGATCTCACGGTAAGATAGGCCTCAATGTGCAACCTCAGTCTGTTAAGGAAGAAGGTGGTGGGTGGTGGATGGAGGTGGGGGAGGGGGCAGAGACCAGTGGAGAAGGCTCAGTGTCATATGCCACAATGCAGGGAATCCAGTGGTCCAGATACTGAAAAGCCCAAGTTGCCCTCTTGTTAGTCAAGGAGGAAGGTTGTCTCTGCCCTCCCAACTCCACAGCGCCTCCACTGGCCTGGAGAAAGAATTGCAGCCTAGAATCTCCTGCAGGCCCTCAGCCATGGACCCTGTGTGGGGTCACTCTGACCCCAGCCGTCCAGTGTGGACCAGCTAGCCTTCCAGGAGCCACATCTGAAGAGCATCCAGCTCCCCACTGAGCGTGAATAACAGTCTCAGCCATCATGTGCTTTTGCTAAAAATAAACTTGACATACTTTTACATTGGGAAACAATGTGGATTCCAAACATTCTCAAAGGGCAGAGAGGGGGAGAAAGAAAGAATGGAAATCAAGTTTTTGAGCTTAGTAATTAATTAGAGCCTGTAAACAAATGATTCATGTTTTTTTCCTGGCTATTTTTTCTTTCCGTTTTGCGTGGACTTTCGTAGGGACTGGGGGACGGAGGCCAAGACAGCAAAGCTGGTAGGCGGGGCAGGGCTGAGACAGGACAGTGTTAGGAAGCCTTGGCCAGTTGTGGGGGGACGGGACAGCCTTCAGGCGGAGGTGACACCGGACTGTCTTGATATATCCAAAGGACGGCAAGAGACCTGAATGGCTGGAGTGAAGGGACAGGGGATGAGGTGAGATGGAGCACCAAGACGCAGGCCATCGAGAACTGTGGTGGTCATGTCATGTCACACTTAATCCTGGGGACAGGGGAGTCATGGTAAAGGTTTGAGCTAGGGAGGAGTATCACTTGACTACACAATAATGCCATTTGAAAATGGAGGACCAGAGTGCTCTGGATGTCCTTGCTGACAGCTGTTTGTTGAGGTTCTCAGGAGAATGAACCCCTAAAGCCATGTTTCCTGGGGATTCCTAATGCCTGACTCTCCCCTTTGGAATACCAGTCACATGACAGTAGGGACCTTGTCAGTTTGTTTTCTTCCGTGTTTCCAGGGCCTAGGCCACCACGGTGCACACAGTAGGAGCTTAACATGTGTTTGTCAACTTACTAGAGGCTGGTGACTTGTTTATAGGCAGAGCGGTCTCCATAGGTCCAGCACGGCATGGTCCCCTGGAGATACAGGTTTTATTAAATTCAAACCAAGGGGAAGTTTTATGGCTAGAAAATCTATTCTGTAAGGGACTGAGTTCCTCAGCAGTGGGGGCATTCAAACAGAGCCCACACTAGCAGCCCACCACAACACCCTCTGACTTGAGACAGTGTCTGTGCTGGCTTGCAGACCCCACCCAGCAATGACCTGTTTGGCTGGAATGTTTTTAGGTCCATTGCTCAGAGAAACGAGGCCCAGGGAGTAGTGACACGGTCAAGGCCACTTGGTTACAGGTGGGGGGCCAAGACTGGAATCCAAGTCTCAGTCTGATGTCTGCTTTTAATATGTTCTTTGAGGCACAGTTTGGTTCTGATGCTGGCTTGGTAACACAGGTGCTATGTAACCTGGGGCAAGTTGCACTGCCTCTCTGAGTCTAGGTATTTTGATACTTTAAGTGCTTATGGGTATACTTGCTCCCAGGGCTGCTGGATAGAGTCAGGGGGTCTGAGCTGGCACAGGGGGCTCCAAATTCATGCAGTCTTCCTTTCTGGGTCCAGGTCCTATCCAGGTGCTCTGCCATTGGCCCCCTCCTGAGTGGTCATGGGCCCCTCTTTGGTCAGCACTCCTTGGAGTTCCTTGGACCCCAGCCTCCAGGCCTCCTCCCCCACGCTGCGTTTGATTTGTCAGGCCATGAGCCTCTTCTATTTGTGTTTTCTTCCTCCTTTTTCTTGGTAAAACCACCGTCTTCCCTGATTGCCAAAGCTCCTGTCAGGGAACAGTTGGGCAGATCTCTGTCATCCCACAGAACCATCTCCCCAGCTTCCCCATCCACCCACCCTCCTCATGAGGGTTGAGGTCACTAGGCATGAGCCCAGGACTGGGGACACGAGGGCTGACTTAATCATCACGGGAGAACCAGGCTTCCTTTGAGGAGGGGGTTAGGCTGCTGAGTGGGCCAGGGCAAGTCAGAAGAAGACTTCTGAGAAAGCTGGTATCCACCACAGAACAGGCAAACAAAAATGTGGGCTGGCCCACCTGGAAGCTAAGGGGATACGGCTGGGGGATGTGTACTAGGGGATGCAAGGCACGCTGTTGGAGCTGCACTAGGAGAGCCATCCTATGGAGAGGCTGTGTGTGGGCACTCCAGGGGAGGCATGCCAGGAGAGGTGCCCTAGGAGAGGAGAGGCACACTGAGGGACACACCGAGGACACATATTAATAAGCTGTGCAAGCGAGCACAGGGTAGGGTCATGAACCAAGTGGACTTTATGCTAAGGCCATGGCAGAAGGGTGGTGCACCCGGCCGACTTGGTGGAGGGAGTGAGTCTGGAGGCAGGTGCACAGAAGGAAAGGAAGCCTGGGTCCTGGGGCTGTCTCTCCGGGCTTCATCTCAGATCCGCCACTTTCTGCCTTGGGAACTATGTCAGGGTCCTTCTCTGAGCCTCGGTTCCTCCTATGGAAAGCTGAGCCAATGCCTCACTGCTTTTCCTAGCCTAGGGACAGCTCAGGGAAAAGATGCTGAGGAGGCCTGAACATGTAGCTGGTACCCAGAGCTCATGGTGGAAAGTGCTGGAGCCTGAGCTTTGGATGGGTGCAGGTGCAAATCCAATTTTCTGAGCTTTTAGTCTGTTTACCACAGAGCTCCTTTGGAGCTGGCTTGACTTTCTGAGGTAAGCCGTGGAGAGGGAGCTTCTGAATGTGTCCATTCCACAAGCACACTGTAAAAGCCTAGTGGTTAAGAGCAGGTCTTGAAGGCTGGGGAGATGGTGCTTGCCACACATGCATGAGGGCCTGAGTTCAAATCCCCAGAGCTCAGTAAAGCTGGCATGTGTCCATAACCCCAGTGCTCGTGGACCAGCCAACCCCCCAAACGACAAACATCCTGTGTCAAACAAGGTGGAAGGTGACCAACACTGGGGTGTCTTCTGATCTCCACACGTGTGTTGTGGCACACTCATACAGGTGCACAGAGTCTGAGCATCTGAGAACAACCCTGGCTTGTGAGCTTCATTGGAAGACAAGGACACTGGGCTGGCAGTGCCCAATATGGTGCCTGGCACACAGTGGGGACATGGTCAGCATGAGTACACCTGGGGTCTTTGTGTCCCCGAGGATCCAAATGAGGTCACTCGGTGTCCATGGGGAGGAAACTGAGGCTGAGAGAGGTAATGTCACCAGCCTGAGGGGGGTACTGGGGTGGTTTGGCTCTTGGGGCTGTCTTCCTGAGATGGGGATCTTGGAGCACATGCCTTGAGTGGGGTGTCCCTTGAAAGCCCCTAGTAAAGGGAGCTGGCAGCACATGCCAGGAGTAGAGCTGCCGTTGGTGGATGCTCTGGGTTCAGCAGTGCATTCAGGGCTGCACTGCAGACTGTGGACCAACTAGTTTGCCATCTATGGCTTGGGGTCTAGAGAGGCTAGACCTGCACAGATAGCTCTGTTGCTCTTGGCTGAGCATCCTGTTGCTGTTACCACGGGCACATTAAGGTGTCTTTCCCACTGTCCATACTAAATATCCTTTCTGTGTGTGGAAAGAAGATTCTCTCTTCTACAAGTCTGAGTGGAACTGGCCTCCCTTGCAGCTAGAGTATGTACATGTGACTCAGCTTGGCCAATCAGATGCATCCATTTTGGCTCCATCAGAGGTCTTCTCCCCAGCTCAGACTCCTCCCCTGGCTCCCTGTGGCCCTTGGGATAAAACCCAAACTCCTCCTTAGGTGCCCCAGTTGATCTCACAAGAGGTGAAAAGAGTTTTCCCCTCTAGCCCCTCTGATTTTCCTCTGCTAAATGCTGTACTACAGTGCACACCTGCTTCTGGGCTGTGCTGGTCCTTTCTATTGTTTTCATGTCACAGATGAGGATGTGGAGCTGGGACAGGGGAGCTGCAGGGTGGAGGCATATGGGATATGCAGCCTGTCCCAGGCTCTAGCAGGTCATGGAGGAGTCTGAAGATGCTGTGGACTGGAGGCAAAGGAAGGATGGGTTTTATTTTATGTTTGTGCTGCTGGATTTGGAACCCAGGGCCTTGTACATGATGAGTAAGTACTCTGGCACTGAGCCCCAGCCCCGGCCTCAGCTCCACCAACAATGATTGCACTTGATCCAGTTTGACTCAGCTTAAAACTCACCTTAAAGCCGGGCGTGGTGGTGCATGCTTTTAATCCCAGCACTTGGGAGGCAGATGCTGATGGATCTCTGTGTGTTCAAGGCCAGCCTGGTCTACCTAGTGAGTTCCAGGACAGCTGGGGCTACCAGGAGACCCTGTCTCAAAAAGACCAAGAAAATAAAACAAAACAACAACAACAACAAAAAAACAACAAAAAAACCCCCAACTCACCTTAGCTAGGCCTGACAGAGACCTGTAATCACTGGTACTTAGTAGGCTAAGGCAGGAAGATCACAAGTTCAAGGCCATTCTGGGATACAGACTGAATTCAAGGCTAGCCTGGACTACTTAATATGACCTGTGTCAAAGTGAAAAGTGGAAAAGGGCTGGAGATGGGGCTGGAAAGTCAGCTCGGCGGTTAAGAGCACTGGCTGCTCTTGCAGAGGACCCGGGTTCGATTCCCAGAACCCACACGGCAGCTAACAACTGTCCATAACTCCAGTTCCAGGGGACTCCGATGCCCTCTTCTGACCTCTGTGGGCTTTGCACTTACATACATGCAGGCAATACACTCATAGACCTAAAATAAAAATAATAAATAAAATATTTTTTCAAAAAAGGAAAGGGGCTGGAGATGTAGCTCAGTGGGAGAGTGCTTGCCTAGCATGTGTGAAGCCCTGGGTTCAATTCCTAGCATCAGAGCAAACAAAGAAACCAAACCCCAAAACAAAACCTCACTTTAATTTGGTTTGATTTAACTCAGTTCAACACAGCAAAACTGTAGCAGCTAAGCCACAGGTTAACTGGGCTTCCAGCACTCCTCCGATCTGCAGGCTTCTGGGCAGCTTCTGTCCACAGACAGACGACTCCTCCTTCACGCATTCCCCGTAGCTGAATGCTGCCCCAACCTCTCTGCTGGCTTCAACTCGGTTCACCTCTGCTCAGGCCCTCAGGCTGCTCACCTCATCCAGGGTTAGTTCACAGGCCCCACTCACTGGGTCCAACCCATTGGCTAGGCCTGGCCCGGCTCCGCCCATTGGCTCCGCCCATCGGCCCAGCCCACCGCCCCGCCTGGCTCTTATGAGTTGATCCTGACTCCTAGCAGCTCTGTTCACCCACGGTGGTCCACTCACTCATTGCTGTCTGCCTTCG